TGACATTTGCCTACCTACTCACCATTCAGCAAGGTCTCTGCAACCGGTGACCTTTTGGCTCAAAAAGCTTGTTGTTTTGACATCTCTGTGATATAAATGCTGACAGGCCCTAGGACTCACTTTGTACATATCCATCTTGTGTTATCTCATAGCATTTCTCTCTGCACTCACTGCTCACCTCAGCTCTTAGTTCCGATACACTGGTGCCGGAGTCTACATTATCATCTGTATGGTCAACGGAGCTTGACAAAAGTGGGAGGAGGAGTGAGACGTGGTGAGCAGACCAAAACAGAACCATGTCTGGCTCTGAAAATGCTGGGGAAAAATCAATTTTTTGGAGTTGTAGAAGTCTTTGAGCAAAGTCATTCCCATGGAAGACCAATGATTTGGGTAAGAGAGCTGGGACTCATGGAAAAGGCTTGGAGCTTTGACTCTTAACATCAACTGCCTTTATCAACGATAGTTTACCGAAATGACGACATAGAGGAGTGATCGTCTCATTACCTCCAGAACATCTGTTCTCACCTTGCTCATTTGTCAATCTCTCCTCGATGGAATTTCTGGTGGGAGGTGCTAGCATGTAAACAGAGGATTGAGGAGCAAGTCACCTAAGAACAGCCAGTTAGTTATGAGATGGGCCCTATAAATTCTTCCACTTTTTCTCGTCTTCTTCTTCTTCATCTCAATTTAATTGGAGGATTACGGCTCTTTAGTGCATACACCAATTTTCCAGGAAACAGAAAATGCTTCCCTATGTATAGTCAATGCAGTCCACTCAAGCAAAGCCGCTGTATTCAACCCTACAAACATACACAGGAGAGACAGGCGGGGCGTGTTTCTGTCAGTCGTCAGTGAAACGGGGCGTAAGTCAGTGACTGACTGAGAGGTCTGTTGGTACTCGACCTAATTAGTGACGATTACACTGATGGATGACTATCCACTTCTATTGGTGCTTACTTGGTCTTTTTTTTTTTTAAGTTTCTCGTCATTCATCCTTGGTCAGCAAAACAAGCGTCCATTAGTGACGATCAGAACTGACGGAATGCCCACCTCTGGTTGTGCGAGTGTATAAAGGCAAAATGCGCGCTACATTGCCGCGATGACATTCGCGTGGTCGCCCCCCACGCGATAGCAAAGAGGCTTTTAGCTAAGTAATGAGAATGGATGCAGTAGTGAAGCAGTTAATGTATACTTTGATGAAGAAATGCTTTTGCAGCAAAGAAATGTCACCATTACAGTATTGTTTTAGCTGTTACATACTTGAGCATACACATGATATCCCTCATTTTCCCAAAGGACCATTTTAAGCATTTAGATCAGGGGTGGCCAACCAGTCAGAGATGAAGAGCCAATTTTTTTACTGTGTTCCTGCAAAGAGCCACATCATACCCTTCCTCCGCACATGCGCGCACGCACACACTCACGCACACACGCACTCCCACACACACACACACACACACACACACGCACACACGCACGCACGCACGCACGCACGCACGCACGCACGCACGCACGCACGCTCGCACGCACGCAACTTACGCGGGTGCCCACCATTGCACTCGCGCACATATGCACGCACACCACGATGAGCAACAGTTGGAACGGCCGAAAATAAACGAAAGCTAAAGATACAAACAAACAAATCTTTTTTTCCCCATCCATTTCCTCCTCCCACCCCTTGCGGTCGACTTGGGACCAGTTCGCTGGCTCCTGGTCGATTCTGATCGATTTATTGGGCACCCCTGCCTTAAAATCAGAGGTAATTCGCTGACTAGCTTAGCGCCGTTGTTTGCGCATGAGCGGTGATGCAGTCATCTGATTGGTTGCCCTCTATGTCAATCAAGTAACGGGATTGATGATAGGCTGACGTAGTACGTTCTGTGTAGTTAGCGCCGTGTTTGAATGGCATCGCCACTGCCGACGCTTGTCATGTGAAAGCCCGGGAGGTGCATTGAACCAGCCAAAGAGCCGCATGAGGCTCGTGAGCCGCGGGTTGGCCACCCCTGATTTAGATGGATAGAATCACACTGTGGCGGCACAATGCTGCTGTGCATATTCTCCTCAAACCTGAGTGGGTTTTTTTTGTTTTTTTTTAATGCGTTAACGGATATCCAGGTTGATAGTCAGACTGTCGTTTTCAAAGTCGTCCACTTTGACACATTTTCAATTATTTTCAGCCTCCAGTACGGTTGCCATGTACAGTAAATGAACATAATTAACAGCCTTTAAAGGGGAACCAAGCCCAAGATGTCAAAAGTTTCTTCTTTAAATGTGCATATCTTCTGTATCAGATGCTGTTTGCTTAAATCTACAAAGTGTTTCCTCTCAAAAAAATGTTTAAAGCATCACATCTACTTGCTAATGGGAGATGTCCCATTTAGAGGTCTTTTCACTCTTGTGAGAGTGCAAATTCACAAGAATGTGACGTGTGTTCACTGATAGCGATGGCCTGAAGTAACGACATCGGCAAATGACGGAAATTCACTCCCGCATCAACCACCGAAGCAAGTAAGAACTTCCTTATATGTAAGCAACCTTGAAAAGAACCAAAAGATCGCCTCATAACAAAACAACTCCACAAGAGAACAGCATGTTCTCATGTAATTCCTACCTTGCTTTTTGTCAATAGAAAATGCATCTGGAAAAAAAAAATGACATCATTACAGGGACAAATGAGAGGGAAGTTAGTCTCAAATTGATAATCTCATGAGCAATGTCCACCAAGCTATTAACAGCTGCCTCCTTGCTGGTGTCCACAGGTCACTGGGTCATGACTGGAATTTCAACACGAGCGCAGGCACCTTTAAATTGGTACAAGCTGGTCAGGGCCGCATGAGCTAGACCGGCTGTCAAAATGGCTTCAGTGGAGAGACATGCATGACACAGCGTGCTGCCAGCTGGCGTTTGTGGAGAGCAACATGGGGAGAGATGCAGGCTGATGTTAGATGAAGCAGTCGGGCAGTAGGCGGGGTACACCCTGAGCTGGTTGTCAGCCAATCGCATGGCACACATTGACGGACAACCATTCACGCTCACAGTCACACCTAGGGACAATTTCGAGTCCTCCATTAACCTATGGTGCATGTTTTTTTGGAAAATTGGAGGAAACCGGAGTACCCAGAGGAAAAACCCACACAGCCACGGGGAGAACATGCAAACTCCACACAGGAAGGCCGGAATCGAACCCTGCACCTCTGCACTGTGAATCTGACGTGCAAACCAGTCTACACCGTGCCGCCCATATTCAATTGTAATGTTGATAAATATTTTCAAACTGATTTCCATCATCACCAATAAATAATTTGCTGCGCTTTGCAAAATTCAGGTGAACTCGATGGAATACAGTAGGTCTGCATTTCACCACATCGTCGATTTCACCACATTGACTGGTAAGGCGTTCTCTCGTGTGTTTACATCTACGAGTACACTTTTTCATTGGCCATACGCCAGAAAAAGGAGTCATGAGGAGAGTAGTCTGCTGAATGAGGGGACCACTCCAATCGTATGTACCCGGACTTTGTGGACACCCCGAAGTAATAGCAAGTGTTTTGGTGGAGGGAAACAAAACATGCAAGATAGATGCCCTCGAGGACCGAAGTTGCCCACCCGCTTTAAAGTATGCGTGCAAGGCTCAAGCACTAATTCTCAACATATCTGATTATAACCTTTTCTCTTTGCAAATGCATGTGCGCTGTTGTAATTGCGCATTGACCTATTACAGTAATCTAGCATCCATGCTGTACATTTTCTCTCTGCAGTAAAGGAGCCCAAATAGTTGCAGGTTTATTATTCCACTACTGACCACCATCCTCCCTCACTCCTACAGTATTTCCTCGTGATTATCATTACCCGGTTGCGATCAATTTGTCCTTGTTTATAATTGTTCTTTTGAAATCCGTTAGACTAACGCTTGCTTTGTCACTGTAATAAGAGGTACGGTATTGACAATGTTTGTTATTGTGGTCGTTCATGTCGACTGTCCAGGTGATTATTTTGTCCTCCAGTGAACACGGCAATACAAATTAGAAACGAATGTTGATGCCATACTTATATTAGGTCTCATTAAACACAGGGGTGGACAGTGAATGGCTACTGTATATTAACCTGATACTATCCTCCCGAGTAATATCCTTGGCAGCTAACCTTGCAATATTAAGACTTATTTCTGAGGCCACCGTCGCTATCAGTGTCCTTCAGAGTTATACACTATGTTCATACTTAATCATTACACTCATGGCTGTGACATTTAAACCATGCAGTGGAGAACGTGGAAGAAAGAGGCACAGTCCTTGAGACATGTAGTGCAGATAATTTGTTTTCCATATTGACACTTCTCCTTCGCATAAGAGGACAATGACTCAGCAAAGTATATTTATAGCATTTTACAAGTATATTCTTGTTGTAGTTGAACCAAAAATTCAAATTTTGAAAGGAGTGTTGAAGTTAACATGGCTGTGTCCATATTTTTTTTTCAGCCACGCGAGAAGTCTTGTATTGCATTGCCCCCTGGAGGCGACAACAAATGCAGAGCAGATTTTCTGCCAGGTCGGTTTTATATACAGCACTGTACTATATAAAAAGATCAAAAACAAAATGTTTGATAATTTCACCCCATTTACCGTATTTCCCCGGTCAGCGCAACCAAACTATCCAAACATTACACACGTGCATTCTTGTGAACATATGAGAGAGAGAAAGAGAGAGAGAGAGAGAGAGAGAGAGAGAGAGAGAGAGAGAGAGAGAGAGAGATAAATACAAGACTTTTCACAGTTGATATAATAAACATCAAATTTGAAGTCTGTTTTTTTAATTAAAATTTATGACCAGATCTATGAATAATTTACTGTTGAGGGTTCTCAACCTCACCAGTTTGTCAAGTAAGCTTACCTGTACTAACAGATAACACGTCACATTTAATCAGTCATACTAATAAATTATTAAAATCTCAGTCCCAGTTAATTTCCAGTACCCAAGCAACAATAACAAATCTTCACACAGTATCAAAATCAACATCTTCATTTTCTGTTTCTATGAATAACCTGACAGTTAAACACAGTGCATCACGAGAATGTGTCTGTCAAACCTGTAATGTCTATTTGTGATGAGGCATTGGCTAAATGCCACTCACCATGGTTGCCAATTTCCAGGAATTTCCAAAGTTCTCTAACACTAAATTATGATGATTCTTTGTGTATAATATCACTGTCAGGTGGAAACCTGTGTCAAAGTGGTTCATTTCATATTTTTTTCACAAATCAGTACTACCGGTCAGTCCTCACGTGGGTCGGTTATTTATTTATTAATTACAATTTACTGACCAATCTTATTTGTTGAAAAGGGCTCACCCGGTTTGACGATGCAATGGTAATGGCTAAACAATGATACTGTATGTTTTGTTTTCCTGAAAAGTGACGGTTTTGTACATGTGAAGAATCTGCTCGACAACAGCAATACGCGAGTTTGGGAGGAAAATGAAAAACTGCATTACCATTTAACTTTCTCCAAAAGTGTAACCAATTGAATAGTTCCATTTCTATCAAGTTAAATTTCTCAGAAAGTTTTCTAAAAAATTCCCCTTCAGCCTACCACTCACTGAATCGTTATTGTATTTTGTGGTCTACGTTACAAAAACAACATGAGAGAATTTAGAGGAAAAGGAATCCACAACGTGGAATCACAGGTACCTACTGTTAAGTAGTTTGTTTGTTTTTTTTTTTTTTAATGTTGTGGGCTGAGATGCCACATGACATGCTCAAGTCCTTAATAACTACTGACCCCGATGGCAGACTAGACACATAATCAAGTCTTTTTAAATACCGGGAGCAACAAACCAATTTGCATTATCTAAATGAAGTACATGTACATAATTTGATCACAAATGTGTTAAACAATTAATTAAATGACCCCCCCCCCACGCCCCCCAAAAAAAATTCACTCCAGTGCATTTGAGAAGCCGATGAGGGTATTGTAGGGTAGTTTTTTGGGGGGGCTTCTTTTAAATAAAACACATTTTACTAGATAGTCGACTAACCTATTGAAGAGTCAAATGCATTGACTTAAACTTGGAATAGACGCAACGCTGAAGATTTTGTGCACCCAAACTGACTTGACGAACAGTGGCCATGATGCTAAGCAGACTGTAAAAATGTGCTGGGAAAGTGAGTTCTGTCTCATGTCCGTCGGGCTTTCTGCCTCTTGGCCTGACGTTTGGCTTCATCCAAGACAGCACTCTCGCCGGTGGCCTGGGCCATGCTCCTTACACCTTGAATACGATTCATCGTCTGTTGGAGGAAGGGAATGACCTACAAGAGAAATCCAGACAAGAGTGAACAAATGCAGTTGAACACGTGGTTGCTGGCATGTGGCGCTTAGATACCTTTTCATGGTTGTATGCTGCTAATAGAAGTAGCAAAGTGAGGGGTAGAGCAATGTAGGAGCCCTGGGCAATATCTTGGTCTGGCACTTTGCGCTGCAGAAAAAGACAGATTAGCACATATAAAGACATAATTATCCAAAACAAAAGTCTTATCACATATTGCTTACAGTTGGGTTGAAGGTGAGGGTGACGTGCTTGTGGTATCCGGTGGAAGTAAAGGAGACCTGAGGTAGAGTGAAGTCATGCTGCGTGCGGGACAGTGTGGAGTACAGCATCAGAATGTAGCCCTAAAGAGACGGACAACACAACATCACGTCATTGATTGGTAAGAGAAGATCACAGCCATTTTCGGACAGGTAGGCAGGTTGAACTACAGTGTATTTGTATTTATTGTATTTGTATTTATTGATAAATGTGCCATATGTGATGAAGAGGAATTAAATCTTTGTCTATATAAATGATATCTCCATAACTTATTGGATAACCGCGGTGTTTCGGGAACTCACTACAAGCCAATGACTGTGAAAAATGGGTTAGAGCTATCGTAGCTAACTGATGTTCATTCCAAGGTGAGTTATAACAAGGAAGTCCTCTGGATATCTTAGGTACTCGGCAATCAGCTTGTGATAAATGTCATTCATCGTAATCTTAAAGTTTTCCGCATCACACTTAGCAGAAAGGGGATTCTAGCTGAAATTAGCTCTGCTGTGCTAACATCAATTCATTAGCTCAATTGTCATGCCCAGTCCTTCCGTGGCACGGGGCTTTATCCATAAATGTTTAAATATTAGAGACATATTGCCCCAAGCATCTAATATCTCGGAGTTGATTTGTTAAAACGGTTCTAATAGATTGCAACTGGGAGGGTTGGCAGTGAAATAACTTCAGTGTTGCTCTGAACAATTCTTTATAATTCATATTTGAGGTGCACCAATGTACTTCAAGACAGGATGATACCTCTCCATCCCGGTCCAGTGGGGGGAAATGGAAGAAGAGGGACTGGCCCAGTGAAACACTGTGGAGGGGGTTGTCCAAATTGTCACTCCTGTATAGCTTTACCTGAAGACAGGTGCAAGTACGGAAAAGTAAAACATCGATGATCTCATACATTTTTGCAACATGAATAATGCCAGGGATTTAGATAATGTTAATTTAAAGATGAACATACCGATAAAGTTGTGAGATGTTCTGGGGATGTAATGACATTCCCGCTAAGGTCAAACTGATTGATTTGTCGGAAGGCGATGATGTTGACTCCCTCAACGTCACTGCTGCCGACCTGAATAGGAGAGTGAACATGGTGCAGAATGGGCAGATACAGCTTGGACTCCAATTAGAGATAAAGCTGCAAGCAAGTCAGACGTGGTGAAAGACTAACAGAGACTTAGGAAGAATTAAGGCCTTTTTGGCCTTGCAAGAGAGATTAGAGGGGCTGCACTTCTCAAAAGGAGGACAAATTACAAAGTGAAAGGTTTCCAATTTGCAATGGGATTATCTGTGCTTTTGTTTCGGTGTTCGGAATGGAGCCATGAGATATGTCACACTTCATGTTCCCACACAACCAATTTCATAAGGAAGGAAAAAAAACATTTCTCTGACAGAAATGTTGCAGTGAACATCTTTCAGAGAGCTTACTATGACAAAGTGAAAACGTTTCTCATATAGGAATTGAAACGTCCCAACAACTGTGAGTGACACCTTTAGACAAGATAGGGGAAACGCGACCTGTACACCACAGTTTGGGGCAGTTGGATTTTCCACGGCAAAACAGAACAACCACAGTCGCTGCATCAAATATATCAGTCTAAAGAGGACTCGATAACAAATCAAAAAACAAGTTGCTCCTGTATTTACTTTGTCATGTGAATGCTCCAGTGCTCTCTAGAATAACCTTTTGTCCTGGTTGCAGTGGGGCGCTCAACCTTTTTTTCTTGGTTTCACCAATCAATCAATCAAATGTGAAGAGCATGTTTCATACGTCATCCTGCAACTCACAGTGCTTCACATTGTTAAAAATCAAATTCCAGCAGTGAAGGTACAAAGCACATTGGAAAAGGAAGTGCCACGGCTTGTCCGGTGGCCACCACAAAGCCACCACGTTCGAGGCAGGAGCCATGACCGTCAGGCTGACTGACGGCTAATGCTCCAGCCACGGCTCTGGTTCAAGTGAAGGGGAGCTAGCGGTGCATGTGCTAGGCCAAGATTGTGACAACGAGAATACAGGATACCCTTGTGGACTTATTCATGAATGGACTAACAATGCCACTTATTCACTGTAGCAGGATGTGAAGCCACTCGCAGACATTTTACAGTGACACTCGCGAAATGTGCCTAACTTGAAAACACTGATTTCTTCATGACATTATTTTCTCTGTACGGTATTAATGCCACAATAAGTGGCGTACGGTTGCACCAATAAGTCTGGGAAAATCGGTAAGGATGTGATTCTAAATGATCTCATAAGGTATATCGCAGAGTGCTAGGCCAAGATTGGGACAAAATTCACTGCAAAATTTAATCCTAACCTCTGGCAGTCATGATTCACGATACTGAGATAATCCAATACGAACATTAAAGTTCCTTTGTTGAGAGGCTCACGTTATTCCATAAAGCGATCCTGGTGTAAAACATGTGCTGATAACATTGTTTTCAGGAAAAAAAAAAAAAAACAACAACAACAATAGAAGCACTCAGTACCAATGGCAATGTAAGATGGCTGCATTTCTGGCTTCAGCGCGAGGGCTCAATTGTTACTCCGTTAATTTATAAAGTGAAATGAAAAAGAAACCACACAGGGTGGACCAAGCTGTTTCAGGGAAGAAACAGTACAATGGAAAAGGGGATTGAATCGCAGATACGCTATTTACTCAGAACCCAGCTCTGCAGCTGATTTTCCAGTGGCAAAGGACACCATAAATACTGAGTAAAACTGTAGTGTATACATTGGGTACTTTCTAGTGATAAATGCACAAACTGATGTTTCCACCTACCTCGATGGCTCTTTGTTGGGGTAAGGCTCTCTCTATGTGGTCGTTGCCTTCAGCTCGCAGTTGAATCAGGTACTTGCAACCAGGCTGCAAAAAAAATAGTAAATAGTGGACCGAAAAACTGAATAGTCAAATGCTAATTGTCTGTACAAAATGACTTCAAGTACAAAGCAAAATCCATAAGTCAAAGGATTCATGCAGTTAAAGGTGCCACTGTAATAATATTCGCAGATATCTGCAACCAGCTCATTGGCATCCTTACCAGCAGACCTCGAAGTCTGAAGCGACCTTCCTCATCAGTGACAGTGTCCTCACTGTAGATGCTACAGTCTCCTTGACCCACCGCTTCCACGGCAACGTCCCTCTCCGCATCACCACTCAAAGACTGCACTGCTCCGTAACAGCTGCGCACAAAAGCACAGGAAGAGGAAATGGATTGGACAACATCTTTTTTTAGATCTGCTTCATGGTGCTTGTTACAGTCAAGATGAAGAGAACTGGCAGTACCTATACGCGGTCTTAATTCCAGTTATATCGATACTGAGGATTTGACCCTCTTCCACCGTAATCATCTGGGATGCTGGCTCAAAGCGGAATTCTTTCATCATGGGCTTGAAATAGTACCCACCTGGACTCTGCAGAGGATGAACAAAGTTAACGTAAAATGAAAAGCAGATCACACGACAAAACAATTACCGCGTAACAGCCAGGGACGCTTTTCGAGACCCCAACCCCGGAAGTGTTGTCGATCGCCCAAGCAAAGCTTGCAGTTTTCTCTCTAGTATAAACACTAGGTTTCTCCACTAAATGAAGATGAGCATTGGGCCACTTTGCAACGTCTTCCTCCCATTCTCATCCCATAACGATGAGAAAATTGCTTTCCATTTTGCAATGTTTTTAAAAGTAATTTTCGTGATCCTTTAGGGTCTTTACTTTTAGCTTGAGCACGTTAACTCACCTCATCGTTCTTTCCGCGCCAACAATGCGCATGCGTCCCCGTTACGACATTTTTGTTGAAAAACTGAAAATGTGTCATCATATGTATACATATGCACATACACATTTAATACAACTGGGTACAAGAGTATTAAAATGTACATTTATGAAATGTAAAATGAGTCCCCTACCAGGTTATTGAATGTGAGGAGGCCGGTGTCCTGAGTCAACAGGTTGGAACGAAATTGTCCGCCACTTAGAGACAGAAGGACTCCCGACAACGGATGACCGTCCTCAGATTTTATCTACAGTACATGGACACAAAGGAAGAAGCATGTTAATGTATTAAAAAATTCACATTTGTTTGAGAACAAAATGTTATACTTGTTTTTAGCCATTATTGTATTAAAATAAAAGGGGTGAGATAATTGGCAGAGTCAACTAAAAGTAGGGTTTATATAGAAGACATTTTTACCGATAAGGGGACTAGAGCTGTGCGAAGTATCAGAGTCAACATACAATGTCTATTGTAGGACATATTGTAGACGGACGTAACAAAGAATCCGGTAATTTTTCAAAATAAAGCATATTTGAGATTCTGAAATAAATAAAACGCAATTAATATAAGTTCCTTTTCCTTTCTGTGCGGCCCGGTACCAAATGACCCACGGACCGGTACCGGTCCGCGGTCCGGGGGTTGGGGACCTCCAGTTTGTAGTGTTAGTTTTACCTTGCCACTATGGAGGGAATCCTGTAATTTATTTTCCTCCGCTTAGTAATACTTGTACTGGATAAACACTATGCACACTGTAATATAATAATTACCACAAATTATATATTATATATTGATAATGTATATTCGCCAGTTAACTCAATCTGTCAGATAATTGTAACTGATTTCAAAAGCAGGGCAAAGTGGTCAAAATTACAGATGTAAAAAGAGCTGAATTACTGAGATGTAAAACATGTAATGCAAGTCTACCTTGAAGGTGATTCCAGCCAGAGCAAAAGCCTTGAAATCTCCCTGGGTTCCTTCCATGTGACTCAGGACAAAACCCTCTTTACTGGCACTGATGTCATACTGCCTGTCACTGTGAAGTGGACCCACACTGCCAAGACATGCAAAGAAATAATGTGGTAATGAGAACATGTCACGATAAATCAAAATTCTTCTCAATTTTAGCAGATATTATAACACAGGTTTTGACTTTTATGTGGTCAGGCCAAAATCTGCTGAAAATCATCAGAAAACAAGCCTAAAATTACCACTGAGTCTGTTTTGAGGGGGGTTTCTATTCTGCAGACACCAAGATCAGTGTAACTGTTCACATGAATAGTGAGCACCTTTCATGAGTTTTCTGTACCACTGTCTGTGACACAAGTCCTTGCCCATGTAAGATTTTTTCTTTTTTTTAATTTAGGAGCTTAGACCTGTACAATCCGAAAAGTGCCTTGACATAACAGTTTGTTGAAAACAGTCACTCCCCACAGACTTAAACTTATTGACAATGGAACGCTTCAAGTGTTTCTTCGTCAAGCAGTGTTGGTTTCTTGTACCTGTATGCACCATTCTCATTGGTGGCCACAGTGATGAGTGGTGTAGCAGCTCCCCTTTCACTAATGGAGACCTCTACACCTTGGAGCTCCGGTGACACTTTGCCCTCCAGGAAGAGCCCTGCACGACCCATGATGTCCACCATGCGACCAGGACATGACTCTGTATGTTACAATTAAACGGAGAAAATTTATTAAAGAAAAAACTAATTTCTAAAAGTGTGTGCTCTCTCTCTCTCTCTCTCTGATTTTTCCTTTTTAACCTGTAGTACAAGACTTTAACACAACCAACCAGAGACAGATAGTGTGACTGATGGGGTTGTCAATCATGTGCCATGCACTTGCAGGTACTCATAGCGGGTCGAATACTGTTACATGATTTTGAGAGTATGACAAACAAAATGAATACATTTGTGGGTGGGAATTTATTTGTCTGGAATTGTCACGAATCATACCTCCTGTGATCGTGGCCTCCACTTCAGGGGGGTAGAAGAGCAGCTCCTTGGAGGAGGGAGTCACTGTAATTTTCTCTCCAGCCCTGCAAAGTACCCGTAAAATATGAATCATAGATTCATGGGTTAGCACGAATCTGTTGGTTTAAATAGACATACTTCTGAAATTATTTGAAGGAAAAAAAGCTCTTATTTTTCTGTGTAAGCAATCAAATAGCAACAGAATTTCCGAATATGAGTAAGTGCTGTAAAGAGCTTATTTAACATTAATGTGAAATGTTATTTTGACATGAATATTAAATGCAACCGACCTGGCCCAGTAGGAGAACTCATAGTGGAAGGGCCCTGTCAGCTCGTCAGCCTTTTCTTGGATCGGAGGACTATCATCCTTGGCCGCCCCTTCCTCTTCAGCAGCACGCCGTTCTCGTTCTTGGCGCCGCAACTGTATCTCCTGCAGCTGCTGCTCCTGCCGCTGCTCCTCCAGACTTCGCAAGGGGCCAAGAACCAGCGCTGGCTCACTCTCAATAGATGATCTGATAGGCATTGCAGAGATTAAAAAGAAAAACAAACAAACAGTCTAAGATGGGTATTGAAACACTGTCAAAGAGCAGCTGTGTACATTATTATGACTTTGAGGTATTACTCCGATGGTACTTACAATCTATGTCATTTTAATAGTCACATTATATCTATATGCTATTATATCTACTGCAGTGGTTCTCAAAGTGTGGTACCAGGTACCACGAGTGGTAAGCAAAAGAATCATGAATTAAATGTGAACAACCCTACTCCGAATGAGCGAACGAAAAAAAATGGATGGATCATAGTGGATTTTTGTTGTTGTTGTTTAATCATCCAGTTCAAGTGTTTCATACAATAAAAGCAGTCTGATAGTTGAAATGATGCCACTCCCACTTATTAATGATTTTTACCTGATGGTGACTGTGACGTCTAAGATCTTGTCAGTGGTGATAAGCCCCGTCATGTGATGCCGTACTGCAGTAAGAGTCAGGATGCTGGGTGCTGAACTGTTAAGACAAGGTACCATATTGCCAGAGGGAACTTGATGCGGGTAGATAAGAGTCTCTGTAGTTTTACTTACGTATCATAAATGTAAAAATCCTGCTCGAACTGGTGGCAGGAGCGAGGGGTGACTTTGTACACGCCTGGATGAGACATTTTTAGGTAACTACCCCCAAACTGGTACATCAGATTACTCTTGTTCACTTGGATTTTTTTCTTTCACAGATGGCTAACTCATACTGTTTATTTGTGTCAAGGATAATAAAGCTAACCAGGTTTGGAGAGGCAAAAACGGTTGACTCCCTTGGAGAGATTGTAGATGCCCACATTCTCAGGTTTGCTGCCATCCTGAAAGAACTCCTGCACAGCAACAAACAGTGAATGTAAGAATCTCATCACAAAGGTTCACCATCTACATATGAATGGGTAGATACTGACCAAAGTGATGGCATGGGAGAGGGAACAGCGTAGGATGTAGCCAATCTGTCGGAACTCGACCCCCAAGATGTCAGCGTCCTCAACCTCGACTTCCATGGATTTATGTTTCCAACACCATTCCTCGTGAGAGATGCTTACTAATCAATGGAAAAGAAACATTAAGAATCATAAAGCAGAAAATGTTGCAAGTGCATGGGAGATGCAGAAGCCTAAAAAATGTTTAGTCAAGTCTGACCTACTTTCTTTCAGGAGTGAAGTAGTTCACATGAACTTGTTGCATATTTTGATTTTTTAAATGTAAGTTGAGACTATGTTATGATTTCACACTATTTACATAGAGACTGCATCTGTTGTCAACCATGCACATGTGACTTGGTGCTGGGTTGTAAACCAACATGAGATGTGTCAAGCTTTAGGACTAAGGTTGTTTATGGTTCCTGACCTTTATATTTCCCAGGTAGAACATTGTCAAAGGAGAAACTGAGGATATCACTGCTGCCCGTCAAAGGCATCGTCCTTCTCTCTCCTTGACGGCTTACTGGTTGGAGTGTGACTGACAGGTCATCACAAGATGCTATAATTCAACAAGAGAGTATTTTTTTTCAAATGAAGCTTACATACAAATACAGCAATTTCAAAGATTTTCAACAGGCAGACTTTACCCAAACAGTAGACTTTTCCAGAGACAGAGGCCATGAACTGGGTAAAAAGAAGATCTGTGAGCGGCTGGTCCACAACTGAGAACTCCAGGGCCTGAGGCTGCAGAGCCAGGCCCGCTTTCACATCAACCTCAGGGAGAGACACCTACACACACACACACACACGCACGCACGCACGCACGCACACAATGAGCTTGTTAGCATGTGCAAGGTGTTTTTTTCATTGTAGAGTATATATCTGTGGCAAATGGGCAATGACATGGAATGAAGAATTGTGGCACTGGAATGTATTAAAAAATACACTGTAGTATTAATGACAGAAATCGTTTTCAGAGAGGAGAATTCCATTCACCCCTTCTTAAGACATCACCTTATATTAGTGGAGGGGTTTGTGTATTCAAATGATCCTGGAAGTTAAGTTGTCTGAGGCTTTGTGCCCGTGGCAGGGTCATCCATGGCCAATGGGTCTTTGGTAAGGGACCAGACAAAGCACGGCTCAAAAGACCCATTCTCACTATTAGAATCAATGGACTTCATTTTCCCTTGCTCGGACATGGGTCACCAGTGCCCCCACCGTCTGGAGCCAGGCACGGAGGTTGATGTCACTGGTGAGCGCCTGGTGGCCGAGCCAGCACCCATGGGGCCCGGCCAAGCAAAGCCAGAAAAGAACCCGAGCGGTCTTCTGTTACTGGACTTCCGAGCTAATCATGAATTGTCCATAACGAACATCATGTTCAAGGATGGGGGGGCATACATGCCCTTGGCACCAGGACACTCGAGGCCACAGTTCGATAGTTCGATTACCGATTTTGTGGTCATGTCATGGGACTAGCTGCCACATGTCTTGGGAAACTTGGAACAAGAGAGGGGCGAAGCTATCAAACGACCACCACCTGGTGGTGCGTTGGCTCCGATGATGGAGATTGCCAAAAATGCCAGTCTAACGTGGCAGGCCCAAACATATTGGGAAAAATGGTTGGGAAGAGTCAGGCAGAATCCCCTGTCAGAAGGCGTTTCAACCCACGCCTGCGGCAGAACTTTTTCAAAGTCCCAGTGGAGGTGGGGTACATTGAGTCCAAGTGGACCACTTTCCGCCCCTCCATAGTTGTGGCGGCCGACCGGAGTTATGGGCCTCAGGCGTTCAGTGCCTATCATAGCGGCAACCCCCAAATCTGTTGGTTGAGACAGCGAAGGGTGCCGTCATGATGGAGGAGGAGCCCTGTTGGGCTTTTTTGGCCTGCGGGACTCCTGAGGCACCTGCTGGGTACCGGCTGCCCTAACGGAATGTAGCTTTGGTAGTAAGTGAAGCAAAAATTTGGGGGTGGAAAGAGTTTGCTGAGGCCATGGAGAGTGACTACTGGACAGCTTCGAGGAAATTCTGGCTGCTGCCCATATGACCAGACCTCAGATATATGGAAGCAAATGGACTGTCGTACATGGACACTGTAGTCTCCAGGTTTCGCCTGAAAGCAGAAGGCTCCCTGGGTGTCCGAGTCAGTGATCCGGCCTGAGCTCTTATCTTGGCCCTGGTGTGTCAAGGTGACCTTGTAGCGACCTTGCTTCATGCCCTCGGGCAGACGGCTGATAGAGATCAGTCCGCAAACGCTGAACCTGCATAAGAACAATGCGGGTCATTAAGTTTCAATATACTGTATGCTCACCACCAGCAAAACAAGCAACACAATACATGCATAGTCTTATAAGATAATATGCAGGATACATTATAAGGCTAGGCAATAATTCATTATCAATGTTTTGTGACAGACAGGTGATTAATACCAAAAGAAAACACATTTCATAGAATGTTACACAAAAAAAAAAAAAAAATTGTACTACAGTCAAAGTACATGTAGCATTTTTGTGAGCCTTGTCCGCCAAGTGCTTGCATAGTGACCTCCCAAGAAAAAGCTACCAAACCAGCAAAGAAGATGTACACGCGTGTGTGGTGTAGGTGCATTGAATGAAAGTGTACCTTAAGTGAAAGTGAACGCCTATGCATGCTGTTTCACGTATAAAAGTCTGGCCAGTTAAATCAACCAGGCATACCCTGCAGTGATGATGTCAGGAAGTTGTGGAGTGTTGGGGGCAATTTTCACAGTTACTGGCTCAAAAAACATGAGATCCTTGTGGACACGGATGGTGTAAGTACCAGCTGTCATGTTCTCCAGCCTGTAAGAGCCATCCTCTTTGCTGACAACTATGAGGAACAAAGACAAAGAAAGCCGAGACAAAAAGTAAGTAACACATAACACAATCAATGCAAATAAAGCATGTTGTTATCTCAGGTTTGCTTACCTTTAATCTGATTGTTGATAGACACCGCGGCATTAACTACGCCTTCCCCATCAACACTATTAAGGACCCGGCCAGTCACAGAAAAACCCATGACACGAAAGATGGGCTAAATGTGACAAATGAAGAGAATAATGGTCCAAAATAAGCTGAAGTGAATGTTTTAATGTTTATATGACATTGAAAGAAAATATGTCTCTGTACCTCTAGCGTCAAACTATTGTGCTCCACCTTGAAATTCATTCGGGAAGGCGCAACATCAAAAGTGATCCTTTCTCCTCTGTAAAAGGGCACCTGAAGAAGACGGTTCTGAAATCAGTTCAAAATTAGCTTTCGCACTAAAATACTTCAAGCAGGATGGGTTTTCATAGAAGGCTGACCACAGTGTACTCCCCACTAGATAGTGAGGGGAAGGTAAAGGTGCCATCCTCCCCGGAGATGGCACTACACAGGTAGATGAGGGAACTGTCCCCAGAGTCTGCACCCTCCACAGGAGAAAAGTTGCAACCTTTCACATTCTGGGAATCACAACAAAAATGCCGCTTCAATGAGCTTCTTGATTGCAATTTACCGGTACTCATTATGTGAGTATGCTCAATCATTGCTCAATTTACCTCTCTTTTGACGATGGCCGAGTAAAGCAGGAAGGTGACCTCATTCATGGGCTCCCCGTCACTGCGGACTTCACCCGAGACATCGTAGCCTCCGACCACCAGATGGTCAGCGGCCGGCGCATTGGCAGTGGAAATGTGCACAGTTGTGGTACTCTGCAGGAAGACGGCAAAAGTTGCAATGAAGGTCATAATACTAAGTCTACAAGGACCTTATAAGCTCAGGTAATTGTTTGACTTGACTTGACTTATAAAGTCTTGGGCACTCTTTACTCATTGAATGACATCATTTCATTGACAGAAGTTTGTTTATACGTCCAGACATAAGCCGCATGGAATTGAAGCGGATTTACATGGGACAGGAGAAATTAAGAAATCTCTTTTTTCGTCAATGGATGCTACAGCTTCTTGTTTTTCAAAATGCTTGTAGCAGACGTGTCTCTGATCCACTAGTGAAAGCACACTTTGATTTTCTCCTCTTTCATCTGTAACTGCTTCAAACAAGGCGTATGCAGAAACAGTTACAATTACATGACTGTCTGTTGTATTTTATTACCATATTTTGTTATTTTGTTAAATGTTCTGTAAAGCGCTTTGTTTTAGCTGCAGCTGTTGTAAAAGTGCAATTTAAATAGATATATTGTATTGTTTCTGCAATAATGCTACCAACCTTCTCCAGAACCCAGGAAGGATGGGAAGCAACGATGTCATATGTTCCAGGGAGCACTTTGTGAAATGTATACCTGTGTTTCAAGAATTGCAGGGGAAAGAAAGCTCAAATTTTATCGGTACAGGTCTACAAGTGCAAACTAGACATGGGCCACTCCTTCGAGAGCATAGGTGTCAAACTCTGGTCCCGGAGGGCCACTTTCCTGCACGTTTTCCTTCTCTCCCTGATTCAACACACCTGATTCAAATGATCAGCATATAATGGCCCTCGAGGACCGAAGTTTGACACCTATGTTCTAGAGGGGAGGGGGAGCTGTTACACAGAGAGGAGTATACATGATGCAAACTCCAGCATACTATGACAGATACCTTTCTACTCTGTTGATTAATGTTCTTTGTCCATTTAACAAACAAACAAACAAACTACATCTAAAATCAAAATCTAACATCAGCGCATGCCGAATGTAAACCCATGACTACTTCGAAATGTGAAAGCCACATACGCTCCTCCAGGCTGGGTAATGACAGTCTGGAGTTTCTCGTCTGTTCCGGCTCTGCTCAATTTAACTTCTACTCCAGTTGGTCCAAGGAGATGTCCTTTACTCAAAACCTGTGCAGTGTAAAGAACATAGAGAAAGTAAAGACAGAGTGGCGTCACGGATGTGGACGTGTCAGCAACTAGTTCAAAGTTATTCCTTCCATACAAACACTTCAATGAACATTGTTAAGGTTTACTTTTCCTTTTTGCCAATTATTAGGAAAAATAGGTGAAACACCCACCATTCCCGATATTGAAAAGCCGGTAAAAACAAAGTTGATGTCCTCTTCTTTTTTACATATGTCAGTGACGCCATCCACATGGAGATCTACACTGGTGGGCTCTGATCAATGTAAAGGAAAACAAATTTAAAAAGTAAGAAATATAATGTCTGTGGATCAAAAATATTTGCCAAAGTAACAATTCTGAAATTACCAAAGCTCCACCCAAGAGGCGGTTCAATCTTCAAAACAAAATCGCCCTTTGCAGAAAAAAAACCAAACTGCATTAGTATCATCAACAAATGAAATGGATGAATACCAATGTGTGTATTTCCTACCTTGTCATAAAGAGGAATCGTAAAGTAGCCATTATTTGGAGCACAGTCAGTGTGGTATTTCAAGGAGCCTTGTTTGGTGTAGAGTTTAATCTGTTTAAAAATATATGCAAAATAAATACAAGGGGCTGTCGTGGGTGGACGTAACAGTCAGTGAGAAACAGTAAATACAGATTGACAGTTCATCTCATGGAGGCTGTGTATGAGCAGGCGGGATTAACTCTAGTGCCTTGTGCGACACGTTCTCCTCTTCTACGCTGATTTAACTGGTTTGAGGGTTAAAAATTGAGCCACATATCTACGACGTACTCCACTACAAAATGTATGATGACCACAGTAAGCGGCTAAATAGCTTCGAGACGCATTTTCACTCACCTCAATCAATGAGTAATTGATTTCAACGTCGGACTTCACAAACCCCCCACATGCAACCACGATCTCATCAGAGGACACGACCGAAAATTGAGAATATGTGATCCAAAACAAGACCCAAAGAGTACTTAATTCAGCCCGAATTGTTATTCGCAACATTTTCGGCTGACTGATTCTCCGGCTGACCGTGAAAATGCACGCTGCTTCCGGTTCCGTACCAGCTGACTTACTGTCAATGAACCACTCAAAAGTAATAAAAGCAGCGCCTTCTGCTGGTGTGGAGGCCACAGAGGTAATCTCTAAACCTGGTCAGAAAAACGGATTACACAAAACCTATTTTAAAGGTTTATTTTACCTTTACAGTTACAACACCCCGCGATGTAAAAATAACATTTAACATTTTGAAACAATACTTTAAAAAAAGAACAACAACAATATTTAACAATACGGACAGGTTTGCATTGTGTTGTATGTTATCAGTTTTTGCATAATCACAAATAAACATTTTATAATGTCAGTATTTAGCAATAATTCATATAAAGTGCACAATACAGTACTAAAAGTTGGTTAATAAAGATCTGGTGTATGTAGTTAAGTCCTTCTCAGAAGGAAAAGACAATGAAAAAAACCCAACAAATTACCGGTATTTTGTTTAGCTAATACACAGCGAAAAGAAAAGTTAGGAAAATGTCTATTCCATTAAAACAAACAGTTTTGGTTCCATCCAACTGCAGCTTGCTTGTCCAGTGTTGTGGTGGTTTGTTCCTCCAGAACTCCTAAATCTTGCTTCACACATGTGTGGAAGTGTCGAGAGGTGAATGTGCGAAGAACACCCCTTCAGGAAAATTGTTGGAGAAGCTGGTGTGGTAAGTGGGGCTGCTTCTGCTGGACCGCCGCTGACTTTGCGGGCCAGGCGATGTGATACCAGAGAGTTTCTGGGCCTGACACAGTTTCTGGATCAGGAAATGCTTGTCTCGACCCTCCTAAACAACACAGTTTATACACAAAGTGTATTCCCGTTAACACTTTGCCAGTAATTTGAAGTCAAACGTATTCACCCCACATGACAATAGGCGAAACCTTCACAATCCAAGAGCTGACAAAAGAGCCTCCTAAAAGTGCAGTTCTTGACTTTGTTCAAATGTGGCTCTTCTCATGAAGCCGATAAATCTTCTCAGTATCCAATGCAATGCAACAATATAGTTAATGACATACAGTACCCAAAAAGATGTATATAAGTTTACAGCATTAAATGAATCTTTCTGAGTGTGAAATTGCACCAAGGCTGACATCCTTCAAAAAGATTCAATATACCCACCATGGCTAGCTGCTCCCTAAGTTGTTTGATCACCCTCTTGTGTGCTCCAGCGAGTGCGATCACGTAAAACATGGCTAAACTGCAGCATAGGACACAAAAGAGCTCAAGTCAGCACTGTTATATAGATTCTGACACTTCCTCATCAATCGCTTAAGTATCACATACCATGTAACAACAAAGAAGGACACAGCAAAAGCCTCAGATGAGACAGTGAAGAGGAGCGTTTGGACCCCACTGGGTAGCTGGGATATGGCAGTTGGCAGCACCTCCCAGGAGGTGGTGTAATTCACAAATGGGCCGCACGCCTGGGAGCAGTTTATTCTACATGTACAAACATGGTCGGATGAATGAATGGGTTCACAAAATGTGAGTAATAGAGACTTTGTGTGTGTGTGTGTGTGTGCTGATCCAGAAACTAAATATAGTATTTATAAACATATATTTAAATCACTTGAGTGACTTAACACACACACACATTATTTTTACCATTCTTTGTTTTTCTTTTGACCAAGTGAGTGATATTTGTGGGATAATCAAGATACTGACAGAGCTGCAGATCTGAGACAAAAAGTGCAGGCAGTAACATGACTTACTGTGCTACACTAACAATAACAGGCACGCAGGCCAGACTCAAGCCAATCAGTAGCACACCCAGGAAGAAAAAGTTGGAACTTGAGGCTCTGAATGGACGTGTGGCTGGGCGGCAGTTTTTCATCAGTGACACCTGGTAAACAATGAATTATAATTCACAGTTGTGATCGGGTTTATGTTTATTTAAAAAAAAAAAAAAAAAAAAAAGGCGGGTCTATATAAATTACCTTTTTGATGTAAAAGATAAAAAAGTACTTGATGGTGCAGATTGCAGGCAGCATTGGGGAGTAGAATGCGCCGATCCAGCAGATGGTCTGGCCATAGACAATCTCGAGAACATTCTGAGGGATAGCAAACTCCTGCTGACCCCACCACTTAGCAAGGCCACAATCGCAGTACTTGACTATCAGCCTGAGCAAAGAGAGGACAGGACATTGAGACGCTTAAAAGGACAGACTGGATCACATTAGATGGAAAGGATGGACATTAATATCACCACTAACACAAATTGAGGAAATGTCATTGATTTTGATTTGGACCTACTTTCGGGGAAACTCCACAAAGATGGTGACCGCCACAATAATTATAAAGTCAAAGACGGTGAGTTTATACATTTCCTGGCCAATGCGTGTTTCCCAACACTGTAGGAAGACACAATTTAACATTTCGGGCACAGTGATCCGTTTCACATTTCACATTTGCTACACGTCAAGGTTTCGGAATGAAGTGACTTACTGAGTACAGCACATGGTTATAGCCGCAGACACACGGCTCCTCTTTGCATTTAGTGATATGAGACCAGAGAGAGAAGAGCAAAACTCCAATGCTGGTCAGTCGCATGAATACACACCTGGGTATTTGAAAAAGAAATTGAAGAAATGAAGCCACTTTTTCCACAGGTCATTCAAGTATGCCACCATTTTCCAATTGGGCAAAACTCTTGATGAAAATGCCTTCACTGATTCATTTTTATCAACTGTAAATGTAACAAGAACAATCATAATCATGGCTTAGATTTAAAGTGCGCCTTTCATGGGAGTCAACAACGCTTCGATGATAAGTGGGTAGTGTAATTTCATGATGTTGCGTGCACCTCATAAGAGTAAAACGAATCTCAAAAGCAGGCGAGTAGTCCTCATAGTTGATGACGACGGAGAAGAGGAGCGGAGTGATGAAATTGGCCAAAGTGATAACAATTGATGGCAGGTATTGGTGGATGAGATCCACAATAAAATTGACCTACACATCAGAAAAATTGACTCAGGATGGCTTTATACACCAATAGTATAAAATGTTTATGGCGAAGATGCCTGTGTTTACCTTGACTTCATTCATCTGTGCTTCCTGGGAGAAAATGGTGGCAATGTAAATGCTGTAGAAGCAACAAGCCAATACAGCAATGACAAACAGGTTGAGGATGACACGAATGAGATAAATGCGACATTTCTCTTCACGGGTCCGATCTGCTATTTTCTGTTTGATCCTTTCTTCCTCCAAATCTGTCTAAAGGAAAAAACAAAGACAAATAATGGGAGAACAGATTCAGAACGCATTTCAGAATTTCAGTCTCAACAAAAGAATGTCTGGGAAAATTAGGCGTGACTCCTAAATAATAAAAACTTCTGACCAAATTACCCGAAGTTCATAAAGTAAACTGCTTCTTTTGAGCTTTGCTGCATTCATGTTGGAGATACAGAAGTCCCAACCAGCAAAGATCTTGTTGCAAAAACTCTGGAAACGGTCTTCATCTTGAACCAGGTTACGTTTGAAACCATTGGCAGACCTGGGAAAATAAGCCCTCTGTAGTCAGCAGCACTTAATGCGTTTCAAAATGACACTTTAAAGACCCTTTCAGCACCTTTTAACAATCCAGATCAGACTGAGGAACAGGTATGCTACAGTTACCAGCAGGTAGGCAAGAGGCAAATTATAGGTGGTCCCGGGAAAGTGGATTTTGTCCGCTTTGTAGTAGCCATAAAACAGATAGGTCTGCTCAAGAAAACCCTACAGAAAAAGCACACAGGGTGAGTCAAGAACCCGCAATACAGTGCTATTGTTTGCCGAAGATAAAAATACTTACCCCGCCAGATAAGAGGTCTGCGATGTGCTCGTGAAAAATGACGAGACCTTGGCGAGCACTAGTTGGATAAACACTGCAAATACTACCTGTTGTCAAACAAGATGAGGTGTAAGATGAACATTTTATGTTCGACACATGCGACAAAACAAGCATAAACTAATGAATGTGCTCTTTGGTCTGAACACAAACAAGCGCTTCCTGACCATCATTCCGGTTGTAGGTGATGTTCCCTGAAGCATGCGGGGCGATGATGATGGGCAGCAAGACGAAACTGAACATGAGCGTGAAGATGATCAGGTTGAGCATGACAAGGAAGCGCAGGAAAGAAAAGTAGGACAGGATCCCTGTGCCAAACATTCCTAGACAAACAAAGGAAAGAAAAACAATCAATAATTGTTGGAGACAATCATAATGTACCCACCAAGCATCTGGTTATGAGCAATGATCCCTCTGAACCGCTCACGTGCGCTATCGCACACTGCTCTAAACTTTTCAATGCACAGCACATGTATAAAGCACGTTAAAAAAATTCAAACCAGAGCTAAATTGGCGTTTGCATTTTCATATTCACCTCATATGCAGAGATGAAAGTGGACTTTTCTGAAAATTCCGGAAAAAATAATAAATGTGTGTGTGTGTGTGGGAGTTTTTCAGAGTGAAATGTGCATCATGTCGCGCAATCATCGTCACATGGAACATGCTCTCCATCAAAGGCATCCCATGGTTTCAGTTTTTTGGGAACCGACCTACATTATGTTTTTATGATCTCAGGTTTTGGCCACTGTGTGCATGTCTGATGTAGCTCACCGCGGTCCAAGGAAGGCTCAGGCAGTTTGTGTGGATGCTCAGACGCATGTAAAATTAGAGGGAACATTGGTTGTGAGATCAAATTGTAACACCTCCCTCACCCTCTATAATGTGGATGTCGCTCCTCCAGAGCTGCAGGGCGGTCAGCCACTCATGGACATCATCTTGCAGCCTGCGGAGATATCTGTGGGTGCTTTGCCTCCACTGTCTCCAGCTGGTGAGGTCTGCATCCTCTTGTAGGCGTAGCGCTCTAACATCAAAGCACAGTCAAACACATCAGGATCACTATGTCATCACACAAAATGAGATGGGTGAAGACAAATGGTTCTTACTTGTCTCGGCGTTTCTCAGCCATGGTCTGGGCAAGCTCTCTCGTTGCTCTCTGCTCCACTTGGCTCTTCTGGTTCTCATCATGTCTATTCACAGTACTCAGAGTCCATCTCCCACTGCCGGAAGAGCCAACACGAGCTCGAGAGCTGCTCCTTCTCTTGGTACCAGTATTGGATCCCTTCCTGCGGTACAGCAAGGACTGATAGCTGGGGAGCTGGTCCAGCAGTGGGTTACTGGTGACTTTTCCACTTTGATCAGTGTAGAACACTGTAAAAGGTTGAAAAATAAAAACGAGTATGTGAATGATGTGCTAATAAAAATGCTAGTTGATGATATACACAACAGTTGATTACTGTACTTAGGGGGCACTTATAAAATACAACCCCGGCGAAAACAAAGTACTGTACAAAAGTTTTAATCAAATAAAACATGAAACAATAATAACAATTCAGCTATTCATCCATTTTCTGTACTGTTTACATACAAATATAATAACAATGATTATGATAAGGTGGTAATGGGTTTCAAAGTGATTGTGAAATGTGTTAATTTTGGACCAGTTGTTTTATACAGATGATTGATATTTGTAGCAATATTGAGGAAACTCCTCTATGGAGGTGGGAGAGTGGTAAATCATACTCCATAAACAGATAATAAAAGACCTGTAAATTCCAGTTATTCACTATAAAACACGTGTATCATCGTGCAAATTAATACTTTATACTTTTATTACAAATTATATTGGTAACTTATTTATGTATGGTTAGAATCAAAAGTAACAAAGAGTAACATTAGACATATCTAGAGTCAGTCAGGTAGATTACAGAAGCAATAGTCGACAGCATTCCTTTACAAACATATTACTTTTAGAATTGATAATAATGCTTTTGTATTTTATTGAGAGGTCGTTACAGTGCTCCAAAGCAAAGTACAGCAACGTCGAACATACTTTAAACACGCTGATTTAATAATTGAAAAAGTGGATTAGAGTAACAGATCTTCACTACAAGCACAATGCACAAGAATCAGACCCAAACAAGTTAACAAAATATTCCTATTCACCCCCCACACCCACCGGATCGAAAATACTCGTGAACCCGAACAAAATGTTAACTGCATCTAGTTTGGATAGAGTGCATTTCATTCGTTGTATATAGTCGTGAAACATTAATACTGTATATTTAAACTGTTTTCCTGTCTAAATCATTCCAATCCATATAGCATTAGCTAGTTAGCTGAAGAGTTAACTCAACTGGAAAGACGATCGCGACAGGTAACGGCAGGCACACATTTTGCTAAATTAGTTTCACCTGAATCAGAATCCATTGCGTTCTTTTCTGTCTTAGAAAATTGATATATATATTGAACAGTATTATGCTGGACAACTATAAAGTTGTTAGCCTCAACTACTGTTAGTTCTTTAAGCGTCAGGTTGAAAACATTATAGTGGCAGCAACAACTTCCTGAACTCTCGATCACCCCACAGTTTTTGTTTCATGTATTTACTTTTCATTAGCAATGTATTTTTCTATATGAATTCATCCAACATATTAGGAATATATAGATAATAGCAAAAAAATAATAATAAAAATACAAAAATACAAATATAATACTGTACGGTCAGTTGTATTCACCCCAAAACATTATGCACTACATTTCCCACAATTCAGTGGCAAATTTTCATTGAAAGGCTACGTTCAATGTCCTTAGGACAAGTTCGAAAAAGTTGTTGCAAACTGAACCTACACTTAAAATGTGTTGTTTGGAAGTTTCAAAAATCATTTAATCAATTTATTACTTTAGTTGGTACAGCTTAATTTCTATTAATATTAGCAACACCTCTCGTTATGACGTATGTTTGACTACACAGTTAATAGAGTTTAACTTCCCCTACAAGTCTTGCTTGGATCTCAATTGTGCAAATGCACATTATGTAGTCGATATTAGAATTATTTTCAAGTGAAAGACGAAGAGAAATGAAGTGTAAAATCACATCTCACAGAAGTTCTTGACAGCGTGGTGCACCTCTGAAATTCATACAAAATTGGTAATCCAAATTTTGTCCCAATAAATTACAGTATCTGTTGACATTTTACAATATTGACATAATGTTCAAACCGGATACAAGTACCGTATCTATATGTATACTCTTTCATATTTTTTCTCTATATAAGTAGGAAGAGTGGCACAGTGTGCAGCTCTGCATATCCAATTACACTAGGACATCTGTTTGACGGTCCTAATGTTGAATACGTTGTGTCTTTGGAATTTATGAGTTGTTCACAATAGACACTGTCTACCTGATACCCACCTGCTCTAAACATGGGCTATGGACTTTTACCTTTATGACTTCAGCACACACTTCCTGGTTAGTCACCTTTTGTGATGGTTGTTATTGGACACGCAGGTTTCTTTTGTCTTTTCATCTGATTGGCATGGACTTCTAGGTCTTTTTGTTTTTTAAGTCAGTCTTCACTTCTAGTGGATTTGTTTCAATTTCCACACACTCACCAGCTAAGGTAATACTTTGTTATGCAATGTATATATCTGTTTGATACATGATAATGTATATATAATTCAACACTACTTTCACATTCTCTATTGAATAGGTTATTGTCTTGTATGAATCGTTTTTAAGTATTAATTTTTGGGCATTATCCTAGTGAATTATGCATACTGCATGAAGTAATCTTATATTTTCAGCAGAATATATATGCTGTAAGTGTACCCAGTGTTTCACAACCTCTACCGAGTCAAGCCACATATTTAAAATTAAAAAAAAAAAATCTAAAGGCACACCACAGAACAAAAATATCACAAAAAGTATGAATACTGAAATAATAAGGATCTCGACTGATTTTACCCACAAATTGACTTAATCATTTTGAACTCTGGTCATTTTTAATTGAACAAAAAGCTAATATCCTTTTCTTTTGTATTAACGGCAACTGGTAGATACACAGGTTTATTCCACTTTCAGCTTTCTTTTGGAAGGGAAACCATTTGTCCACTATCCACTACACTTACCGGTACTTCCCAGCATTGATAGATAGATACATACATAAATACATACATGCATACAAAGATAAAATTGTAATTAAGAAACAATCATTTTCACACATTGGAAATTTCCCAGACCACCCTTGATTATCTCTCACAGTAAACTAAAGTGACATGGCACTCTTGTTGGGAATTACTCAAACCTATTTTATAAATTAATGATGAGCCAATGGGGACAAGGCAGGCAGATTAAATGACATACTTCTCTCACAAAATGTGAACTTGCTTCAAACTTCCAATTTAGCCTCACCTGGACTTAGCCTCACAAGCAACAACCCGATATACATGATTTTAATCATATACTGAATGTTTCCTTTACTTGAACAGGACTGAAGTGGAATTTAATACGTATGCTATCAGTGAGTGAAAGGATCAACAATTTGAAGACCCTCATGTCAAGTTACAGCAATGGAGGACTTCTCAACCCTGCCTACCATGACAGTGAGACTCTGGAAATTGATAGGTGTGTGGTTATATAAAATGCAGGGTCACTTTGTCATTTGCCTCAACATTCACACTTTTACTTTGAATCACCATTTATTTATGATGAGATTATGTAATATTTACCCATGCATATATGCAATAACTGGGTATGCTCAAAAATTCTTTCAGAGGAACTTTAAATTGAATTGACATATTTGAACTGTTAGCTAAAGTCTAATGAATTGTATAGCACAAGATGTTTAATATTTCATATTTCTCATTGCTTATTCTGTCTGGTATTTCGGTCCTTCAGAAAACCACAGCACACTAACCCCTATGTCCGGAGAGAACAGGACTGGTGGAAGGACAGAGAGGAAACATATGACTCAGAGATTGGTCAAAGCAATGGTTTTGATGCTGTAGTGAGAGTACCCTGGGGAGGTTGGCAGGAGGAGGGCTGGAGGGGAAGAGAAAATATACCGATGGGACTCCAGTCAAGACGCCCAGAAAGCCCTGTAACCCAGCATGACTTTGGTAAGTGAGGCTTATTCTAGTGCCAAAACACAGAATATTATAATCGTATCACATGTTACACCAACTCCTTCATTTTAATGCAGATCACAGTCCAGTCCGAATGGATTGTGACTTTCAGTATGATCAATTGCCTCCTATCCGACTTCCTTCTGCATCATCAGGTAATGGTTAAACCATTTTCCCCAATGGTATAATAAATGTGTATCTATTTCAATCCACGGTAGTTATCTCTAAACGCACGTATATACACACACACACACACACACACACACACACACACACACACACACACACACACACACACACACACACACTTTGGACGCAATGAGCTGGATGTAGCAAAGCAACCTTAAAATACAGTATAATGCAGCCTCCTTTGTGTTTGACAATAGTTATAGTGTAGCAGTATTGTAAGATTACATTTCATGTATGAAGGTGAACATTTTTATCTACAAACATTGGCGTAATTATTTTGCTTCCATTGATCTTTCAGGCACAATGACCATGAGATGGAGGGGAGTTGGATTAAGGATGAACATGTCTTCTGACCATGATCCTGCTCATTTAGCGTTGGAGGAGGCCATCAAGAATGAGATGGAAAATGGTAATACTCAAGGGCATTTATATGTTGAATTAGTAGTTCAGATCTCTGCACAGTTATCAGTGACCCCTGATACTATTTTCTTTTAGAATGGTGACTTCAAGGTAAACAAAAACAGTGGTTGTCTTTCATTTCCTGTGTAACAGAGCAGCAGAGCCTAGTCAAAGAACTTGTTGCCTTGTCAACACGAGAAAGAATCAAGGCCATACGGGACCTTCCGATGAGCTTTCAAGAGAAAAAACATATCAGGTGACTAAAACACTCATATTCGCCATGCACCATACAATGTAATTGTACTTCTCTTTCTTTGTTACAAGGTCAATACTGAAACTAATTAGCAGGACTTCCCAAATATTTTCTCCTGCCGATTCCAGAATTACAGAAGACTGTGCAAGCTGTCCTGAAATAATGTTTTTATCAATGCAAATTAACAGTAATGCCAAATAATATTTTGAATGACCTTCACAGGAGTGAAGTGCTGGCATTTGACTCTCAGTCTCGCCGGTTCACTTGTTTTGCAGACTGTTCAGAACGAACATCACTGGTGAGTTTGTGTATAAAATCATAATACATCTTCGGACCCTTGTTGTCTTGAAAAGCACGCCGCGTGATTATATGCCTTGGGTATCATATTCTGTGTCCTTGCAGTTTCTTCGCAGGTGCGGCTACAGTATCCGGTCAATTAGGCAGACCTTGGAACTGTGGCAAGGCATCATGAAAGAGATAGGTGGCAAGTTTGGCACCAGCGTGCTCACCTACTTTCTATTTCTCAAGTGGTTGCTCATGTTCAACATATTCTCCTTCCTGGTTAACTTTGGCTTCATCACCATCCCGCTGCTGGTTTATGATATCTCCCCCAACATACCTCCAAATGTCGGCTTTGGAGGACTGGAGATTCTTACTGGAGCTGTAAGTGTAGCCTGATTGTCATACAAAGTGAACTTCTTTCTTTTTTTTGTTTTGTTTTTTGTTTTAAACCATCTTATTTTGTGTATTGGTTGTCAACACTGAACTCTTTTATCACCTCATGTACTTCATCTTGAAATAATTTTCATTGCGCTGGGAAAAGAACAGTTCATGTTTCAACTCCATCAGGGTTACTTCAACTACACTGCCATGTACTACGGTGGTTACAGCAATGAAACCCTTGTGGATCTGGTCGAATACAACATGCAGCTAGCCTACTTTTTCACGATTGCCATTTATATGGTGTTGTGCGGCATTGCACTTATTACAAGGTGAGTCGAATTTGCTTAATATATTTATCGTAAAGATTTGAGAATTTAAAGTACATAGATCCCCCAAAATACAGTAAATGTTTCTTTTGTCCCCTACAGCATGGCAAACTCTTTCAAGACAAACTACATGCTTGCGGATCAAGTTTCAAACAGTGCATGGCAGCTTTTGTGCAGCTGGGATTTTAACATCATCAATGAGAGAGCGGTGAGACAGCGCAAGAACAACCTCAGCGTACAGTTAAAGGTAAATTTTGTCCAATACAAACCTTTTCAGTTTGAGAACATACTATTTGATGTTTCTTTTACACAAACAAAGCAATGCAAAGAATATACTTTCTAACCACCCAGAGTCAAAAAGTAATGAATCATCCTCATGAAACAACCTGATAACATCCAAAAACAATAATCCGACCCACATCTGAACCCATGGGTGTCAGTGGTAATTAGTCTGACAGAACAGGGATTAAAAACTCTTCTTGATGCGGTTGGTGTATGTGCGACTTTTGCAACGGAAAACAAGATGTGATCCATCTCCCTTTTTTCCGACAGCTCAGTATTTTTGCTAGAGAATAGGAGTATGGTGTAAAAATGTTCATAAATTAGAAAGACAATCTGCTTCAGATTTCAGATTAATTGTCTCACGATCTTTTGGGACCATGTTAACCTATGGCAACCTTCCAGGAGTCAATGTCAGAGAAGGCCCAGAGAGATCTGCTAACCCTCACTGAAAAGTTCAAGCATATTGGGATTCATCTGGGCTCGTGGCTTCTCTCCACCGGCATGGCTGTTGGCTGTGCCCAGTAGAGCACAGTCAATGGAAGATGACGTAAGATCTTCAGTACCATTTTATATTTCTGGGATAGTTAAATTATTCCATCGTCACTTAAATGGCAAAAATATCCATCCATCCTTTCCCTGAACCGCTTTATCCTCATGAGGGTCGCGGGCATGTTGGAGCTTATCCCAGCTGTCTTCGGGTAGTAGGCTGGGGACAGCCTGAATTGCCACCCAATCGCAAGGCACACATAGACGAACAACAATTCACGCTCACAATCACACTTCAGGACAATTTAGAGTGTTCCGTGGTTTTCAGAATGTGGGAGGAAACCAGACTGCCCGTAGAAAACCCACACAGGCACAGGGAGAACATAGTCGGCTGGGGACAGCCTGAATTGCCACCCAATTGCAGGGCACACATAGATGAACAACGATTCACGCTCACAATCACACTTCAGGAAAATTTAGACAATTTAGAGTGTTCCGTGCTTTTCAGAATGTGGGAGGAAACCAGAGTGCCCGTAGAAAACCCACACAGGCACAGGGAGAACATGCAAATTCCACACAAGAAGACCGGAGTAGGAATCAAACTCATGACGTCTGCACTGGGAGGCGGATGTGCTAACCATTTGCCCATCGTGCCTCCTTGCCAAAAATATAACATGAATAATTCTAAAAAACAACAACATATTCCAAATAGAAATGTGATTGTAGCCTTTACAGTAACCTACATTGTGGGTTGAAAGGTTCAGTCATGATTCAAATAGCGAATAAAGATAATAAATTACTACCCCAGCATTTTCACCCAAGTTTGCACCAAATCTAAATGGGTTCTTCCTGGCACGTCTTACCCATCCACACAGTTCCTTCCATTTGGTTATGTAGGTTTGACAGAATTTCGGCCACTAAAAAGCAACCATCAAAAGCTTCTCAACACAGTGCCTCTTATCAACTTCTGTTCCTAGTAAGTAATAGAAGGAAAACCAATTTTTTTTTTGTTTCGCTTTAGTATTTTGTTTTATGTTAAGACATACAGTATGTATCTTCACGAAAAAAAAAGATTCCCCTTACTTTTCATCCATTTTTATGAGGCAGATGTAATTCCCTTATAACACAGTAAAATCCTCTCAGCATGCCCCACAGTATAAAGTGGGGTGAAACATAATGGAAAAGATTTCTTTTAATTACACGTACTATGTTGTTAGTCAACAACCATTTTTGTGCCCTCTGTCTTTGCAGAACACAACAGATGCTTCAAACTGGTCACTGCTTCAAGAGGCAGAGACTCTCCTTGTCCCCTTTGTGGTCTCCTCGATGAACCTGGTGGTCCCACTCTTCTATTCTCTTTTCAATAAGTTTGAGCAATATTCCAGTCAACGCAGACAGATCTACACACTTTTGCTAAGGTCTGACAGGAGACTTTCTTGAACAATTGTATTTTTGCAAATTTCCCCAGTGTGGTACCAATAAAATGTGTCTTACAATGTTATCTTTTATCCATCCATCCATTTTATACCACTTACCGTATCCCTAAATTTTCTCCAAAATCAAAAGTGCACCTTGTAATGCAGTGTGCCTTATGTCTGTATTTGTTGTTTTCAATTCAAATTCCTTCCTATTTAATTCCGCACATCCAATCACGAGCAAAACTAGAACAATTTCCTGCTTCCGTGTCTTCTAATTCTGATTTATGTACATATGTAATTGTATTACTTCTATTTACCTTTAAATGTTGGTTTTTCGTGCTTCCAGGAATGTTTTACTCAAGATGTTTATTCTGGGAGTTTTATGCTACTACTGGATGAAAGTGGTGCCTCAGAAGTTTTCGGTATGTTGAGCATAAACCCTTTTTAAGCATCTATCTAATCAGTATCACATTCTGTAGTCTTCCTTTAGCTTTGTGATGGTTTTCCCTCAGTGTTGGGAGTCCATGGTCGGACAGGCATTGTACCGCTTGGTCATCTTTGACTTTTTCTTTCTCATGTTGGGATCCTTCTTTGGAGAATTTCTCAGCAAGTGAGTTATGCTGTTCCAGAAATGTTTAAATGTCACCTCAGATGGCACTTTTGTTTATTTCTGTGATCTATTGCAGTATGATTGGAACAAAATTCCTACCACGACTCGGGGTTCCGGAGTTTGATGTTGCCAGGAATGTCCTTGAACTCATCTATGCACAGACTCTAGTCTGGTGAAACACTTTATTGTCATTAATTCAGAACTTAAGATCTAATTAGATCCTATGATAAGGGGTTTTTCTTCTCGCTATAGGATCGGGATCTACTTCTCGCCACTGTTGCCTGCCATTCAGATTGTCAAGCTTTTTGTCCTGTTTTTCATAAAAAAGGTAAATATATGGAGCCTCTTTTTTACCCCTGATATATTTCCAGACACAAGACCATTGGTGATTCTGTGAAATTCCTGGTCTTATCTTATTGCGCGATTATGCAACGCATGGTCTCCTTGAGCAAAAAACAAATTTTGTCGTAAGGTCAACTCAAGTCACAAAATAACTGAACTCTAGAGGATCAGTAATTGGACCCTGGTTGACTGTGTCTGGGACATTGTTGAATCTTTCATGCACATTGAATGGCCTTTGAAGTTACACTATTCAAACCTCTGAATAGTAAGGCCCCCCTCATGTTTTCCATGACAGCGGGCAAATGAAATTAGATTGAAGGCATTCTGATATGTCCAATACGCAGCATACGTTTGTCCCCAGGTCAGCCTGACTCACAACTGTCAGCCTCCACGGCGAACGGGCAGAGCAGCTCAGATGCAAACCATCTTCATTGCTCTCCTCTTCTTCCCCTTCTTTGTGGGAGCCCTGTCAATCGTTGCCTACACTGCATGGCGGTATGCCCCTTTAAAGATTGTATGCATTGTATACATTGTATTATATAAGTGGAGATCCAATGGACATTGAAAACAGACTCAACAAAAATCCAGATATTTTTGACAAGCAAAAGTTGTTTGATTTTCATTTTCACATTCTCTGTAGACTTACACCCTCTCAGCAATGTGGCCCATTTCGGGGCCTAAACAACACGTTCAGTGTGGTTGGCATCTGGATTGATGGTATGGAAGACAACCCTGGTTCTAAAGGGGCCATCTGGATCTATGATAATGTCATCAAAAGCGAAATTGCTTACTTCCTCGGCACTCTTATAATCTTGTAAGTGCACACGAGTTGCATTATGTGTGCATTATTCTTGCTATATTGTTGTGTTTCAAAAACCTCAATCAAAAAAAAAAAAGGCAACATCACAGTGTATTCCTGTTAACACCAACCGAGGGAACAATAGTAACTCATCTTGACGCTTTGTGTTCTCGTTGACGGCCATGCTTTTCTTGTCAGAATCATCATTTATATCTTCTGGCAAGTCTCTCAGGGCCGCAAGCACCTTATTGGTCGACTGAGACAGCTAATTGCTAATGTGAGTGTGGCTCAAACTTTCATGTGAGTGTTTTATATGTCCTTTTTGATTGAAACTTTACCCCATTCATTTTTCTGTTTGTCTAATCAGGAGGGGAAAGACAAGTCCTTCTTGTTGGAGAAACTGCAGAACCTCCAGAAATCTTGTCGTCATAAGAAGCAGAAACAGAAAAATCGAAACAAGGTCCACTTCTACAGAACCATATGCTAACCTCGCTTTGTTCAAACGAAATTTCTGTCTGTTTTCCTATTTCAGCACACCATAGAGCGCCTGGATGACAGTTCAACAGGCGGTCAATCCCGCTCCAACCCCACGGTTCAGGCTTTACTTCTTGATCAACGACTTGAGCAAGAGGAGAGGCACTTCCCCAGTGGTGTGCCGTTTCCCTCAGATTTCTCCACTTCTGAGGCTGTAACCATGATGACCCAGCAGAGAGCTGAGGGGCAAATGGAAGAACGTTACCCAATCCATGAGTCGTCTTTCATACCTGGGATGCCTGCCGGGCACGTGTCTGAAGATAGCGAAAGAGATGAAAACAGCAGTGCAGCCGAATTTCCTGAAAACCCACATGACAGATTCATGGCTGGAATTCCAAGAAGGCAAGCAAGACAAGAAGAAGAAGATGCAGCGCCAGAAATAGATGGCTTGCCATCATCGTTGTCAAATGCTATGATCCAAGTCATGCAAGCAAGGCAGAGAGCAGAAAGAGATGAGGGTCTTCATTGGAGCATGGCTCCCTCTCAAAATCTTCCTCCTGCTAGTTCCAGTGCCCTCATACAAGCTATGTTAGCCCGGCAACAAGCCCAGAATGAGTATGATGACGGCTACTAAACTAAAGGTTTAAAAGTATTCAATACCGAGAATCAAATATGAAAGTTGTTACTCGGATAAGTTATATCAGTATTTGTCATTCATATCTTATTTTCAACAAAAAAATTCGATACAATAATTTATAAACTATCAAGCTGCACTATGTATGCGAGGGCGCAGCTTCGCATACATATTTACCCTTTACCTTCTTATGTATGGAGACTATATATATATATATATATATATATAGTGGAGATTGGTCTTATTAGAACGTGACGATGCGCAGACACAGCACCAGTCTGATGATGATGATGTTGTCGTCATGGAGATTTGCATGCTTTGTTTTCTTCCTTCTTCGCTATGTCGCCTAATTCTCTCTCATTGTTACATTTAATAGCGCCAACTGTTCAGAGAAATTTTCACCTTTTTTTTTTTTTTAATTGATATTTACGTGTAATATTCGACCAGCTCCACACCGTTGTAATTTTCCTCGATTAGACGTTGCTACCGAAATGATTTTGTTCTGGCTTCCATGTAGCCTTTCTCCGTGAACCTTGTTCGACATGCTGACATTAATTTGTCCCCGCGGTCTGCGGAGAACATACTTTCTGGATGAATGAGCACCTTTACTGTAATATTTCAAGAAATTGTGTCCCCCCCCCCCATTATGCGGCTTCATTCCTTTCCCTTCTGGCAGGGGCC